CGGATCCTGGGATCACATCCTGAGCCGAAGGCAGATGCTCAACTACTGAGCCACCCAGGTGTCCCTGTATCCTTACTTTTTTTTAGAGAAAGAGAGGGAGCACATGCATGTGCTCAAGAAGCTGGCAGGGGCTGGGGGAAAGAGAGAGAATCTTAAGCAAGCTCCATGCCCAGTGCAGAGCCCAACTCCGAGCTGTATCTCCCAACCCTGAGATCATGACCTGAGCTGAAATCAACAGTCAGACGCTTAACCAACTGAACCACCCAAGAACCCTAATGATTCCTATTTTCTGAGAAGGAATTGGCTAAAGGGCCTCAGAATACTAGTGACAATGGCAGAGTTTGGAAGATACTTGCTGTAGTTGCTTCTGACCCTGCCAGCACTGTTGTAAAATTGCAGAAAGAGCTATGGAATCAGGTTTGGACAGGTAAATACATGGATGGTTGAACCAATACTGGATGGTTGAACCATCTGGTTCCATTAGGGCCCAAGAGAAAGGAGCTGTCATAATGATCGCTGTTATTCTACTATTTAACACTCTAATGCTATGACATCCACCACTTGAAATCCACTGAGGTCTTATTTTGTTTGTGATTGTGCTAAGTACTTTATGTACAATACATATTAAATACATTTAATTTTCTTCCCCCATCCTAACTTCATAGAGGAGCACATTCAAAGTGTGTCTTAGAGAAATTAAATAAGTTATCCAAAGCTTAAAACCTGAACTCATTATCCTTGTTCTATGCTGCATCCTTATAATCAAGAATCCATTTGGGTGCATCTGGGTGGTACAGTTGGTTAAATGTGGGACTCTTGGTTGGGCTCAGGTCGTGATCTCAGGGATATGAGATCAAGCCCCAGATCCACTGAGCTCAGAGTCTGCTTGAGACTCTTTCTCCCTCTCTTTTGGCCTCTCCCTCCACCCTCACTATCTCTCTTCTCAAATAAATAAAAAAGAGATAATTTGAAATATTACACTTCTTTTTTTAAAAAGCCACATGTGAGGAAATGCTTTTGAAAATAAAATGCTATAGAAAATATGAGGAACTTAACCCACTAAGATGTTACCAAGAGGGGAGCTGTTTATTTTTAGTGTTAAAATCTGGTTTACTCCTAGTAGAGAAGACATTGAGATAAGGTTTGGTCTTCTGAGAAATATCCAGAAAAATTATGGAAATTAAATTTGAGTCCAATATACATAAAATGAGGGGGTTGTAGTCCTTTTTAACTTAATCAAGCTACTCTTAGATTAGCAGAAAAGTATGCTCATTTCATAGCATAAACAATTATTATTCTAAAATTTATATTAGGATAATGATCTTATAAAAAGAATGATTTAATAACTCATTTAATGACCAAAGTTCTGGAGAAAAGAGAATGATAAATACATTGTGAAGGAAAAATTGCTTGCTAATATATTTTAGTGTAAAATATATTAACACAAACCTATAGTGCTTTCCAGAAGGAAATATTTCCATACATATAATTTTATAATAAAATGGTCCTAGATAAATGGAATATTTTGATTACTTACTATCAGCCTAATCCCATTTCTCCTATATAGTGGCAAACAAATATGCTGGTGCTATAATGACACATAATTCATACTTTTAATGTTAGCAATAGAATTATAGTTACACTATTTCTGGAAGAAATATTGATTTTCATAGGAAATTCAAATTTTTATCCTCAAGATTTTGGATTTAAAATCACCCAAAGTATGGAATGATAACTTTGAAATTAACCATGTTACTATGTATGTTGCACATCATTAAATTTTGTCTATGCTGCATGTTCTTTTAATGTTTTTGTCTTAGTAAGCTTTTTTCTAAATAAGCTGTTTTGGCAGTATGAGGCCGCAAAGCTGAATAATGAAAATTCAGGCTTAATTTTTTTTTCACTTTCATTCTGTATTGATTGCATGCATGTCTATTTCTCTGCCTGTTATTTCAGCATACTCCTTTTCTGTAAGCTAAGTATTTCTATAAAGAATTCACTGCTGATTGTTGTGTTTGCATAGATTGGGTCATATTCACCATTCATTAGTAAAAAAGTGGCAGTGTATGGTCAGTCATTTTATTTCAGAACAGTTATTTCCACTTTTCTTTATTCTCCCTTCTAGTAATTTCAAACCTGATTATGATACCTTCAAAACCTTCCACTCAGATTTAGGATTTGTGTTGGTCACATGTCTTATTACTGTTCTCAGTGAGATAAAGATTCATTGACTTAGAAATAAGAAAAGATGCACTGATGCATGGTTTTTGGAAAGAGAAATGTGGAGGAAAGGAAAAGAATTAATATTTGCTGAGAGCCTATAATATGAGCAATGGAGGACACTGGTCTAGGCTGTCTCGTTTAGAATGGCTGCATGCCTTGTGACATAGGGGATATCCCTCCACTTATTAGATGAGACAAGAGAGTTCCAAGTTACCATCTTGCCTTGAGTTGATCACTAGTGAGTCACAAACTTAGACTTCAGACTCTACCTTTTGTGCTATACTGTATTGTATTTTTTATATGCTATTCTTAGGATCTTTTGGTCAAGTTTAAGTCCTGGTTTTAGGTGGCCCCAAATAAATAAGGCCATTTCTTTTTCTTTTTTAAGATTTTCTTTATTTATTCATGAGAGACACACACAGAGAGAGAGAGAGGCAGAGACACAGGCAGAGGGAGAAGCAGGCTCCCTGAGAGAAGCCCGTTGCAGGACTCGATCCTGGACCCTGGGATCATGCCCTGAGCTGAAGGCAAATGCTCAACCACTGAGCCACCCAGGTGTCCCAATAAGACCATTTCTTGTACCTCTTTTCTTAAATGCTAGTCTAACTTTTTATTAGTGAGCATAAAAGCAATTAAACAGTGAAATTTGAAGGGTCTTATTAAATATATTATACATTCATGATGTGTGGAAATACTTCGGGAACTTCCCTTTCCCATGAAAGCCCAAATAGGAAAATATTTTTCTCACAGATACATCTTGAGGTATTTCAGAAAGATAGAATTGGGAGTTTTCAATGCTTTGTGAATAAAAAAAATGTCATTCTTAAAGTACAATAGGCAGCAAGTATTTTTTTTAAAATGTCATCAAAGAAGAGCAGTCTCTTTAGGAATAGTGTTGAGCAACACCCTGTAATTTTTTTTTTTTAGCATAACAGATGGAAACATTTCTCTGGAGTTATTATCAGGAGGCTAGCATCAAGGAAGCAATCATCCTGCTATGGTCGCACAGAGGAATGTAACCCCATGGAATGTGACAGTTAGGGTGAGGGCAGACTTAGAAAGCAAGGACACAGAGATAACAGAAAGGACCAATTGAGAGACTTGCCTCAGTGACACTGGTTTCACCGATTGCTTTAAGGAGCGGAGTTTAGGTGTTAACAGGACAACTGCGCTCTACACTCACTTTCCACATTTTAGTTTTTGTACGCTTATTTGTATCAAAGTTAACGATAGAGGAAAAACTATAAGTCTCATCCTCTGTTGTGTCTCCTGCCATTTTGTTGCCTTTATATATGGCTCTACATTAAAGAACTCCCTTCAAACACTCTCAGATGTCTGGGTCAGGAGGTCCTCTTCATTGTTATGGGCAAAGTTTAGCTGTCCCCAGAGACCAGGTAAAAAGCCATGCTATTTATGCAGTGCTCCTGAAGAGGACCTGGTCTGCTTTGCTCAGCTTCCTGGACACTCCACTAGGGCTAGCCAAGTCCGTAGAACACTTGGCTTATTAACACTTATGAGCCTCTGAGTCACTCAACTTTAGTTTAGAATAAGTGGGGTGTCTGGAATCTCTCTGTCCGAGGACACTCCCTGACCAGAGAGTATGGTAGATCCAAGAGGTGAAGGCCTGAGATGTGAAGGTATTAAAACTGCAGTAGTGACCCTCAACTAATACAGGAAGAGAGCTGGTGGATATGTATCCAGTTTTCTTGTTATGGAGACAGTTCTGAGGAATGTTTTGCACAGCTTTTTAGAGGATCTTTTGGAACTAGCCTGGGTCACATCTCAGTAATCTGCTCATTCACATACCCTTTACTGGCTTTCCTTCTTTGTTTCACTTCCCTATTCCTTCACTGTTCTTTCTGGAAGTGCTTCCCAAATGAACCGCTTGCACTCAGATTCTTTTGTCTTTCTGCTAACCCAAACTTAGAAAACCACCTGCTTTTCTTCTACCTAGCATACAAAAAACCCTAAAAAAAACAAACAAACCCCCACCAAAACACAAAATCTCTTCCAAGTTAAAGTATATTTTTAAGAGATTGAGTTTTAAAAGATCTCAATGTTTCGTCACCAGTGAGATTAGTGATTTGAGGAATGTAGTGGAATTGGGGAAGAGACTTGGGAAGGATGGTGGTGAATAGAAGCTGGTGGCCATGAACCAGAAGAGTCCAGTTTCTGATAACACTCTCAACTGGGCCTTCCTGTGGCACTTTCTGCTTACTGGTGCTGTATTTAAGACTGTATTCTCTCTGTATGTAAAATTGTGTGTGTGCATGTTATTATGACGCACCGCATCAGTCCAAAGCTGTGCTTGTACAAAGCTGGTTTGGGTACCAAAAACTTGGGGGAAAGCTTAGCACAGTGATGCCAGCAAAGTTACATTAAGCAACTCATAATGAAAAATGCTAATGCTTTTATTACACACAATAATCATTGAGATCATACTTTAAAGCTCACACTGAAATTAGGCTAGACTATTTGACACAGAAATCTATAAAACTTCCTCTTCTATGATGTATGTCCTGAAATTTGTTTTATGTGTTTGTTACCAAAAGAGACCCTATGGTTTCACCTAAAATAAGTACCAATTTAACCTAAGAATTAGGTTAACCAGTGGTTCATGGACTTTTAGGAATGGCTTAACATTTTTTTTAATTGTAAATCTGGTTTAGAAATGTGTTTTTTGTTTTGTCACATTGTCTTTTCTGCTTTAGAAATGTTTGTTTATGTTAATGTATTTGGGTGGTCTGAAAACCTTCTGAAAATAAATACTCTTACAGGTAACTACCATGTTTCCAAGCACACTGTCTTGAAGCTTTGGCTATTGACCAGAAAGAGAGGTAAGGCATCCCTGGTTTATTCTAGCTCCTCTGTTTTTTGGAATTTCAAAACTCATTTCTTTTCACTCTACTCCAGGAAGTAGAATGATATTTTTAAACCATCAGTAATCTAAATGACCACAGAAAGTCCTATTTTTAAAAGTTCAACTCCTTTCTCTAAACTAAGGAATCTACTTATTTCTTCTTTGTAAATTTTGCTTGTTCTTTCTGACCTCCCTGGTAAAGAAGTAGGAAGTTTGTACAATTTCATTACGAAGTAGGTGCAAATTAAACTCAACAACAGTAACCTAAAAGAAATTATTTTTCCTAGCTACATAAACAATTGGATTTATATTCTTCCATGGTGTTGATCATAAAAGATAAGACTTAAAAAAACTGAAAAGAATGGGAACAAAGGGTTTGATTAGGGATGACAGTTGTTTGGGAGTTTATTTTTGTAGGACAAAGGCAAGTTTTTAATTGTTTATTTTAAGGTTAGAGAGTTTATATTATGGAGGTATTCATATCTACATTTCTTTCGTTTTGCTGTGACACATTTCCTGGCTATTTCAAGCCACTCTGTTTTGCAGACTATTTTACATTCTGAAGAGGTTTCCTGCCTAATTTAGTTCCATCAACTGATTGCCATGGAAACTCTTGATATATATATTTTTTTCTCTTCCTGGAATGAGATACTGGCTCTGTTTCAAATAGAATTTTTTTTTTTTTTTTGCACAGAAAATATAGTAAGTTTCATCAAGTAAAATGTGTTTGCCAATGAGGGAGTACCCTCCAGGGTGAACCACTGGGTGGAGAGAAGCCACAAACAAACACGGAACTGCCAGAGTAGATAGGTAATTTAACGATTAGAAACGGGTAACTGCCTAGTCCACATCAAATTGACATGATGCCTGACTGATTTTTTTTATTATTATTTTATTGAGAAGAAAGCAGAAGTCAGCCCTTTGTTCTATACCAGCCCAGCAAAGTTAAAACAAAACAAGCAATGATACAGTAACTCTAAAATTTTGTGAGGTTGAGTCAATATGAGTTTCTCAAGGGCTTCTCACAGCAGATTAATCTGGAGAATGTGGACGGCTGGGATAGACAAATAGTTTGTGTAATGAACTGTAACACAAAAAGAGCCACTCATTTTTACTCTGGATTTTATTTTAAAGGTATAGTTTTGGAGGAAGAAAGAGTATATTAGATGCATTGTGTCATTCCATTAAGACCTATGCAGTGAGACGAGAATCACATTCTGGGGTTTTCACTCATATTTGGCATTTTAAAAACAAAATTCAGGAAGTATAGCTATGAAGAAGAGAGGACAGATTGTGTGTGCTATGTTTGCTCCTTTTCTCTGTGTATGTACAGGTGAGAGAAAGCTTTAATCACGTGACTCTTTATACATACATGACTATTATAAGTGACTGTTTATGTGTCTGTATATTATATACAGACGTGGTTGTCAGAAACACAGATTTGATAAGAAAAAAGTGTGGTTAATGTTGGGAGAAAGAAGAAAGTCTTTTTGATGATTCTCTGTAAATTCAGATACAGTAGTTTCTGTAATTTGTGTAATATTGTTTCTTACAATATTCAGATTTGGTATTTCTTTTGTAAAAAATGAAAGAATCACAGTCAGACATCTCCACCTCAACTGATAGTGAGCTCTGTTTTCTTAAGACATCAGAATGACAGGAGCCAACATTTTGGTTCTTTGCAAACCTTGGATTTACTGGCAGACACTAATGATTTCTTTTGATGGCATGAAGTTTGTCTATATAAAATATTTAGTCATGTAGTTGTTTTTTTTATTCCCCTGTCTGGAGTGGTAGGCACACTTTGTTTTCTTTCCCTGCAATCTTATTTACATGTCTAGAAAGTGCATTACTCCAAAAAGTTTATTTAAAATAAAAATTGCACATGTGTGGGGAGCGCTGACCAAAAGAAATGAATATTTACTGAATATAGAAAGAATAATAAATAATGTTATAGATGTGAAACATTTCGGGAAAGAGATTTCAAAGCCTAGTTATTTTTATTATTTGACTCCATTTTGACTCTCCATATTAGAAAAGTGTATTGGTACTTTCAAATTAACTCTGGCCTTAGCTACTCTGTTGAAAGTCACAGCAACTCTGTTTTAATATCTTATAGTGACAAAGCAGTAAATAGCTCTGCTATCACGGTATGTGTTCACTTTCATTATGATTTACTCTCAGCCATCCTGCATGTAAAAAAAGCGTAGTTTTCAATGTTGGCTTCTTTTGTTAGAACAAATGCCTGAGTGTAACATTACATTCATGCCTCTTCCTGGAATAGTTTCTCCAAATGCACTTCCCTACATCCTGCGCTGACAGTATGAGTGCATGCTGAAGAGGGCATGATAGAAATCTCTGACCTGATTTTGCAGGCAAGAGGTTTGGAGAACAGCGATTAAGATACAAACACTGACCTGATGTTGGAGTGAAGGATTTCAACTTTATGAGCCCCTTAACCAAAATTAGGTTATTTGCGTTTACTTTCTTTTTTAGATCTTTGCATACACTAACCTATTGCTATGTTTTTGTAACCTAACTCTTCACCTACTACGTGAGTTCGAAGGAGGTGAGGAGCTTTCCTGTGACCCATTTTTTGTCCTCTGAGCCTTGCTCAGCGACTTGTGCACATTACTGTCTCTATTTGTAAAATGCATAAACATTATCACCACTTAAAAAGCAGATACATACTGATGAAGCAATCCTTGCTCTAGTCAGAAAGTACTTGCCTAAAATGAATATATCCTGATGTGGAAATTAAACTTCTGGTTCTGGAAAGGGCACATAGGACACGTGCAAGTGCAAAGTGTATGAATGTAGATTTTTGCTCCATCTGAGAAAGAGCTCAGCAATAACTAGCTGTTGAATTTCTGCTTCATGATGGAGAAGGTTTCCTGATCTTTGGATTTCAGGGGAGTCAAAGAAGAGAGTATTGTATTGCTAGAGGTCTTTCTTCTTTTCTGTTTTCTCTGTCATCTATTTTTCTTTTTTTCCTTCTTATTTCCCTTCTCCCCTCTTCACAGTCATTCATCATACATGTATTGAATTCCTATGTTGTGTCAGATGATTTGTTTCTTAATCTAAAAGTCTGTAATTGAGAAATAACAGTAAATTATGAGGAAAGAAATGCTCAGTGCTCCAGGCTTCTATTTCTTTCACCCACTTGAGAATTTTAGAACATATAAAACCTGATAAAACTAGTGATGCTGCTTCAAAAAGTAATTTTTAAAAGAAAATGAAGTCTTTTTTCCATTAACTATACATCTTAATATGTTGCTAGAAGTAATAAGGCACTCCCACAAACAACAGAATGTGGACAATCAAGTTGGGGAAAGCATTCAAATATGGGCACCCATGTCCAGTTGTCCCTTCCATTCCCATCTTCCAAAAGGAAGGAAAGGTAATAGAACATAAATGTGGAGTAGACAACAGTTTGTTTGCATTGGGGACAACTTGTAAGATAAGAATGGAAAGATGTGAAGTTACACCTTCACCCTCCTTAGGTAAAAAGATCTCTGAAACACAAACTACAGTTTCCCCCCCACAATAATTCATCTTTCCTTTGGCCATAGTGACAAATTTCAGCCTAACATATGACCACTCAAACTAAAGACTACATACCCCAGGCTTCCTTGCAGCAAAATGGCATTTACTAGGTTTCAGCCAATAAGATGTAAGCTGACTATCCTATGGCTTTTTTGTGGAACCTTCTTTAAGAGTCCCCTAATGTACCCCTTTTGCCCCTCTTCTGTCTGACTCTCCTCTCTGGAATTCAGATGCTGCTGTCTTGGACTTTGTGGACAACTGTCATACCCCAGCTGTGGGAGATGGTGCTGCAAGAGCCTGGTGCCTGATGAGATCATAAAACTGAGCTCTTATAGCATGCTAGATTGCCTCCTTTTAGGCCATTTGATAGGAGAGGAGACTCAAAGTCTGTCCTTAAGTGATATTAGTTTTTTAAAAAAATCATTAGTAGTATGCATAATCCCACCAATATTGTCACTTTATAGGAGGGCTAACAGCAAATTACATCTATTTCTAACTCTTAAATTTTTCATCTGTTCCTCATAGGAAGCAAGAAACAGCTTTTCATCATGTTCTATAAATTACACATTATAGATATTTTATATTTATGTTCTTGTACTTAATCTTCACAGATGGTACAAAGCTCGTGCTATGGATGAGAATACTCAAACTCAGAGATAATATAGAAATTAAATGTCAAGACTGAAGTTTAAACACAAACCTACTTGACTCCAAACTTAAAGTTACTCGAATATTTTATATTGCCTCCCTGATATTCCGGTTTAGTGCTCCTCCTCAATTGCATGTCTTTATGACTAATAGTATACTTTCAGAGAGGACTCAACATTTTGTTTAGATTACATTATTAAAAACTATTAATCAGCTGCTAATCTTTGAAAGAACAAATATTTTACATAAAAATCTGGATTTCTGGCATCTTTTGAAAAATCAGAAGATTACTAGTAACACTAGGCTCACCTTCCCACATGACAACAATTAGCCAAAACTGTGTATGACTGCCTTTTTTTATTGTTGGGTTTGCAACCTCTCGTTTGCCATAGTTCCTCCTTAAGCCTGCTCTGCTCACTTACGTAACTAACCTTTTCTTGTTAGGCATTTGTTTATGACCTTTGTGTGGATGCTTTCCCTTGAACATGATTAAACATAGAACAGATTGCCATCTGCCTCTCTTACAAGGTGATAAAGACATTTTTTTTAATTGCATATAGTTTTCCATAATTATGTCTTTTCTAAAAGGGATATAAAACAGGGAGTTGTACAGAAATCTAGATAGAGCTGTGTATAAGATGTGAAGAAAAAATAAATTATTATTCTTAATGTGTTCTGGAGAGTACATCATTATTCCCTTGAAAGTCCAGAGGGAAAACTTCAGTAAATATTGATAATAATGACCATGAACTACACATTCTCTGGAATAGTCAATTAACTGCAATATAATTAGAACAAAGCTTAAAGTTGTTAAAGGCATCCAGCCAGCCCTTTTAAATGACTTTGTGGGAAGATGTTTCTGGTTAGGTAAGGTCCAAGGATTTATTAGCTCTCTGTGCTCTATGCCTGTAATAAACATTAGTCGATTGGCCCTCACTTGATGAACAGGTAATGTTATGAACTTGCAAGTCTTTTTTTTTTAATAATAATTTTTTTTAATTGGTGTTCAATTTGCCAACATACAGAATAACACCCAGTGCTCATCCCGTCAAGTGTACCCCTCAGTGCCCGCCACCCAGTCACCCCCACCCCCTGCTCTCCTCCCCTGAACTTGCAAGTCTATCAATGACGATAATCAGGACAAATAGTTCCATGCACTTTGGTTGTTTTTTACAACTGCCAAAGTCATGGTAATGCGAAACCCAAAAATGGCACCTTTTATACATTTTGAGCTCAGTTAGATTTTAGTCAGTTAAATGGCCCTTTTTTCATACCATTTTCACATCCCAGATGCTTTCTATCATTGTATTAAGACAACCATTTTCGAACCATGCTGTTCACATTTCTCCAAGCTCTGGTTTTATGCATGAAGTTAGTCTTCTTTTTAATAGACACCGGCTGCCTCCAAGACCCATGAACATGTCATGGTCCTTGCCTCAGAAATTTTTCTCTCCTCTGAATGGAATCTTTGCTTAGTGCTTGACCCAAGATCTCTTTGACCCACTTCTCAGATTGGCACCAATGTGGATGACCTGACCCACATAAGAAGATAGGTGGCTCGTATGTAGTGGTCAAGTGCTTGGTCTTTGAAGTTGAACTTCCTAGATTAAAATCCGATTTCCGTCCGTTGTCAGCTATATTTGGTAAGTTAAACAATCAATCTTAACTTCAGATTTTCCTTGACAAAATACAAATAATATCTATTCATAGGTTTCTGGGGAAGATTAAATATGATAGTAAATGCAAAGAACCAAACATTCTATCAAGCCTTTAATAAATGTTAACTGGTATCATTGGAGAGCCTATAATTTAATACAGTTCTATCAGTTAAAGTTGTTGATTACAATCAACAGAAACAGATTCTAGCTAATTTATGCAGAACTATATTGGGTAACTCACAGAATCATCAGCATATCTTGATAGCGAGGCTGAAATATATAGGTTAAAAGCAAAAGATACTAGCTAGTAGGACTCATAGGCAGGCTCTTATAGGACAGTTGGGTTAGAATATCATGGCTGGACACTGTTGTATCTGGACACTGTATGCTATCACCATTAGTGAATTCTCAATCTCTCATAATCTTTCTCTCTCACATTCTGTCTCTCTCTCTCTCTCTCTCTCTCTCTCTCTCTCTCTCTCTCTCTCCCACACACACACACACACGCATGCACACACATACATCAGATGTTCAATGTCAAAGTTTTGGGTGAAAGTATCCAGTGAGTATCCAAGTATAGCTGCCTGTCAGAGTCTAAGGAGAGAGATCCGATCTCGTTGCCTCCTGCCAAGACTCATACAAAAAAAGGGAGTTTCTCCTCAAATAGAACAGATATTGGATAGTACTCTAAGCTAGTATTTGAAGATACAATGATATCCTTTGTTTTCTATAACTGTTTTTCAAATTAGAGAATATAAACTCTAGGAAAACTGAACCAAAGTTTATCTCACAGATCTCATCATAAAATAGGTTTCTAACAAATGCATGTCAACTCATAGTTTCAAGTTTGACAAATGTGTTTTCAAGATTTATTCCTTTTTATGCTCTAGTTAGAGTTTACCAAATCAATGAATTGTGAGAATTTCATTGTGGTATCAGACTTAAGTACAGTTGCCAAAAGGTGATTACATAATGATGAGAGAAAACTAGATTATCTTTTAAAGATAAATAAAGCATCTGTATTGAAATTAATCCCTATAAGCATAGACAGTCAAAATAGAGTTGTAGCTTGTGGGAGAATTAAATCTTGCATTGTGTAAAACATTTTCATTGAAAATCATGGTAGTAAATGGGAGTATCAGAGAAGTAAGACTTATTGTTTAAAAAAATTCTTATCATGAGAGTAATATATAATTACTACAGGAAAATTTTAAAGTATAGCAAAACAAAAGAAAAATCTTTCTGTGATGCCTGGTTTAGAGCTTGCCTTCAGCCAAGGGCATGATCCTGGAGTCCTGGGATCGAGTCCCATGTCGGGTTCCCTGCATGGAGCCTGCTTCTCCTTCTGCCTGTGTCCCTGCCTCTCTCTGTCTCTCATGCATAAATAAATTAAAAAATCTTAAAAAATAAGAAAAAATAAGAAAAATCTTTCCTACTATTAGCACAATTATTTAAAACATGTTTGTGGGGATCCCTGGGTGGCTCAGCGGTTTAGCGCCGCCTTCAGCCAAGGGCGTGATCCTGGAGACCCGGGATCGAGTCCCACGCCGGGCTCCCTGCATGGAGCCTGCTTCTCCCTCTGCCTGTGTCTTTGCCTCTCTCTCTCTCTGTCTGTCTCTCTCTCTCTGTGTCTAACGAATGAATAAATAAAATCTTTAAAAAATAAATAAATAAAACATGTTTGTATATTCTTGTGTTTGTGTGTGGTATGTGTATGTGTGTGTGTGTGTGTAGTACCTGTGTTGTTAGTACCAGAAATTTATAACAAACATACTTTTAAATACTGTTACAAAACTGTGCTCTTATGCACAATGTTTATTAATGTGCTGGATGTTTATTTCCTTAAAAACAGAGATTCTTATTATAGTATAAATGCTTATTTACAAAAAAATAGGAAATACAATAAAAAAGAGTATAAAATATGCGAAATCTCAGTAGCCCAGAAATAACCATTGTTAATATCTTGCTGTATGATCTTTAAAACATTTTTTGTATATTTGCAAATAAATATTTTTGGAAAAAAAAATATATTTTTGGAAAATAGATTATGTATCTTATAGGATATTTTTTTATGTACTTTTATTTTTTTTAATTTTATAAATTAATTTTATTGGTCTTCAATTTACCAACATACAGAATAACACCCAGTGCTCATCCCGTCAAGTGTACCCCTCAGTGCCCGTCACCCATTCACCCCCACCCCCCGCCCTCCTCCCCCTCCACCACCCCTAGTTCATTTCCCAGAGTTAGAAGTCTTTATGTTCTGTCTCCCTTTCTGATATTTCTCACACATTTCTTCTCCCTTCCCTTATATTCCCTTTCACTATTATTCATATTCCCCAAATGAATGAGAACATACACTGTTTGTCCTTCTCCGGTTACTGTGGCCAAGTTCAAAAAGGGTGTTGCCTGAGTTCTCCTCTGGGATTTTGATGGAATCTTGTCTCACATTTAGATCTTTCATCTATTTTGAGTTTATCTTTGTGTATGGTGCAAGAGAGTGGTCCAGTTTCATTCTTCTGCATGTGGATGTCCAATTTTCCCAGCACCATTTATTGAAGAGACTGTCTTTCTTCCAGTGGATCGTCTTTCCTCCTTTATCGTATATTAGTTGACCATAAAGTTCAGGGTCCACTTCTGGGTTCTCTGTTCTGTTCCATTGATCTATATGTCTGTTTTTGTGCCAGTACCACACTGTCTTGATGAACACAGCTTTGTAGTACAACCTGAAATCTGGCATTGTGATGCCCCCAGATATGGTTTTCTTTTTTTAAAATTCCCCTGGCTGTTTGGGGTCTTTTCTGATTCCACACAAATCTTAAAATAATTTGTTCTAAGTCTCTGAAGAAAGTCCATGGTATTTTGATAGGGATTGCATTATACGTGTAAATTGTCCTGGGTAACATTGACATTTTCACAATATTAATTCTGCCAAACCATGAGCATGGAATATTTTTCCATCTCTTTGTGTACTTTTAAAGAGTATAATATAATATAATAATCCCTACATCAATAGGTATAGTTCTGCACCATCATAGTTGCTAGCTTTATAAAATTATCTTGTGGATATACACGATTGATTTTCAGAAATACCACATTGTTGGACATTACTTACTTGGCCTTTTTGTTTTTATAAGCAATAGTTCAATGAACGTTCTAACAGTTTAATTTTTAAACAAATCCTTAATTACTTCCTTAAGACAAATTCTCAGAAGCATAGTTAATCCATGCAAAGATTATGTATATTTTTATGTCTTTGAATAACAAATTGCTTTCTAGGATATTATAGCAATTTGAAACGACAAAACAGGATATGTGTGTGTATTCTCATAAAATGAAATATTCTTTAAATGAGATAAATAAATGTAGAGTTAATTACTTTGGCTTATAATAGATTGTAAAATTTTCCCATGTTATTAAACATTTCATTGGCATAGTTTAAAAGGCCTGAGTGTGTCTCATCTTATGAGGCAACCTAATGACAAGCAGCACATTAGTAAATCTCTGCATGCATTTGAGAATATCTTCTCAAGAAAATGTCTAAGTAGTGACATATGTGGGAAGAATATACATTATTATCATGTAGCACAATGACTTTGGTTAATTTGTAGGAAAGAATAGTAGTACCACAATATGAAGAGTTCAAAGAGTATATAACTGTGTGTGTCCTTTTGTGGATCAAGAATTTGTTTGATCTCTTTAGTTTTAGTTTTATCAAATTATAAATGGTCTATCATTATACATAAAATAACTATACATTTACTGTTATTACCTATAAGCTTCTATGTGATGTGGTCACTACTTGCCTCTCTGATCGCAGCCTTAAAATCTTCCAGTCTTCCTTTTTTTTGGGGGGGGGGTATTTATTTATCATTTGAGAGAGAAAGAGAGAGCTTGCATGAGCAAGGGGAGGGGTAAAGAGAGAGGGAAGAGACAATCTCAAGCAGACTCCCCACTGCAGGGAGCCTGATGTGGGGCTCGATCTCATAACCCTGAGATTATGACCTGAGCCAAAACCAAGAGTCAGATGCTCAACTGATTGAACCACCTGGCGTCCCTCTTCCAATCTTCTTAATTGTGCTGATTAGCTGTGCTCCAGCCTCAGCATCCTTGTTCTCTTTTCCTTCAGCACACCAAATGTGTTTCCTCCTGAAACTTTGCACTTACTGTTTGCTGATCTACCTATGACTCGCTTCTCATCATTTAGATCTTCATTTAAATACCATTACTTCAGAGAAGCATTCTTCCATAAGGCTAATTAAACTAGACTGTGATAAGCATTATTGCCTTTAACTGATATTCCTAGTTCTCCTTCTGCCAGGCATGCAGTAGGATTGCACTTTCCTACCTCCTTAAAGTTACTCATGGACACATGACTTGCTTTGGTCAATGAAATGTGAGAGCATACGGCCTGACACTGCTAGGTGAAAGCCTCTAGAAGCTGGGATATAATTTGCCACATGTGTCCTTACCCCTGTCACTGTTATTGGTGGCAGTCAAGTAAGCTTCCTTCATCCTGCATCCCTGAGAGAGGACATGGAACTGAGCCCCTCACTGAACCATAGTAGAAGTGTACTGTGAAAGAAAAAGAATTTTTTCCACACTATTAAGACTTTGAGGTTGTTTATTAGTACAGAAAACCCTGCCCACCTTGAATAATACATAGGTTCTTCCTCCTTTTACATAATCTTAATATTTTCTTATTTTACTCTTATTTATTGTATCTAATCATGGTATAAAACCTTTTTCATTTATGAGCTTTCCTTCCTCCACTAAAATGTTAGCCCCTTGAGAACTTGAGAACAGAGTCTGTCTGGTTCATTGTTTTATTCGCAGTGACTAGAATAACACCCAGTGCATAGTAGGTCCTTCTTCAATACTTCTTGAATAAGTGAAAGAGAGGAGCGGAAGATTTCACCTGTGCCTGTGGCATCTAGACAGAACTTTCCTCCTTTTAAAAAGAGTTCTTCCCAGATTCC